CCCCTTCCTTTTCTTCATTCCTACAACCAGAGCAAAGGTGAGCCTCTCAGGGGACAGACACCTTCCCTCCTGCCCTGAAAAACAGAATAAATGCTGTCATGAATCCTGTGGTCCAGGCATACTATTGAGGGTGTTTTCCTGAACATGAATTTCAGGTTGCTGGGATATATATATATATATAGCATTTTCTTCTGGAAATGCTAAAGCTTAAGATGTTTCCCCATGTCAGAATCAGGAACTTCAGGAAGTTATGGACACAGGCCTGGACAAAGTACTTCTCTCCCATTTCTGGTCCTCCTAGGTCAGAGGTCACCAGGGCTACACAGGCTAAGTTGTGAAATCTGCTACCCTCTTTCTTCCCCAGCCCTCTACCCCTATTGTGATGTTCCCCCCACTTCTTAGATAGAAATTAGTTCATACACTGAAATTTAGGCAGCTGTTCAACCACTTTTTCTATAGGATAACCTTAGTTTTGGCCCTGAAGAAAATTTCCTTTTAAGGAGAAACAGATCTTGGTCAAACTGCCAGGATAAGTTAGCCACAAAGGCACCCCTATAATTGCTGAGTGAACCTGCTTTTAATTTAGAGTTCTGGATATTGAATTGCTCTTTCTGACAATAAATGGTGAGCAGGTCCACTGCTTCTTAAGAATCCTGTGAGCTCGTGGCAACAGAGTCTATTTCTAGATTAAATATGAAGCATTTATTCCTTCAAGGGCAAAAAAAAATTCACCCTGACACAAGCTGAGATCCTTAGATGAGAGTTATGAGGAGTGAAAGATGTGATTAGGAACATCCCTCCTGCTGCTCCCTTTGGCTGTGGCTACAATGTATATGTAACTGGTGCCTGAAGAAAACACTGATAATTTGGAACAAGCATTAACAATGGTATCCCCATCTACTAAACCAGAGTTGAGCAGTACCACAATGATGGGATAAAGAGGATCTGGGATGTGGAGTAGTTAGGGGTTCTGATGTTGGAGTCTCACCTACTGATTCTTCTCACTCCACCCCTTTCTGGTTATGTGACCATATACCAGGGCTGACCTCTCTAAGCCTCTATTTCCTTATCATTAATGAAGACAATAACAATATTCACCTCATAGAGTTGCCATGAGGATTAAATACAAGTTAAATATTGCCATAATGTCTGTTGTTGTTGTTATGTGCCCTTGAGTCGGACCTGACTCATTGTGACCCCTCCTTGGGTTTCCGAGGCAGCATCACTATGGAAGTAGATTGCCCAACCTTCCTTCTGAGGAGTGGTTAGTGGGTTTGAACTGCCAGCCTTCTGGTGAGCAGTCAAGTGCCTTAGGCACTATGCTACCAGAATGTCTGGTATACCCTAACAGCTCAATTACCATTAGTTAGGTCCCTGGATAACACAAATGGTTAAGACTCCTCTACTAGTGGAAGTGTTGGCTTGCTAGCTAGAAGGGGTGGCAGTTTGGACCCACCCAGAGGTACCTTGGAAGACAGGCCTGACATTCTGCTTCATAAAGGTCAAAGCCTTGAAAGCCCTATGGAGCTGTTCTACTCTGCACACATGGGGTCTCCATGAGTCAGAATGAACCAACAACCAACCAATAAAAACTATTACTATTGTTTTGAACATTATTATTTTAACTGCCTTTTCTCTGAACTATTGACTATACCTTATGGAATGAGGCAAAAACAGTAGAACACTGGCTCTTAAATGATATATCAAAGTGCAGTCTTACTTGTTGAGACAAGAATTGACCTCACATTGACACCAGTCCCAGAGAGTCCGGCATGGTTTACAAAACACTTTTCTTATGCCTCATCCCACCTAATCCTCACTGAACCCCGATGAGATGGGAATTATTAATATCACCCACTTTTTTTAGGTAAGGATTCTGAGGCCCAGGGAAGGTGAGAAACGCTTCCATGTGTCACCCAGTTAATAATTGGCCAAGATGGAATGCAGATCTAAGTCCTCTGCCTTCACTCCCTCTCCCTAAATCATGTAGAAGGAGCTCTGGTGGCACAATGATTAAGTGCTTGGCACTAACTGCAAGATCGGTGACTCAAACCCACCAGCCGTTCCATTAGAGAAAGATGAGACAGTCTACTTCCATAAAGATTACAGCCTTGGAAACTCTATGGGGCAGTTCTATTCTGTCCTATACAGTTGCTATAAGTTGCAATCAAATTGATGGTGAGTTTTTATTGTTGTTTTTTTAACCATATGGCACACAGGTTTTTGCAGCAATTTCCACAGATTGATTTGTTAGTCTGTCCTTCAGAGGGGGTGATGAAAAGAGGGTCCAGCAATGAAGAACCTAAGAAAATGACAGGCCCTCAGTCTGGGTGTCTCCTGCTCCCATGTCACATATGTTGCAAGCCATGTGCAGTCCATACCCCACTAGGAGAGTGGAGAGAAGTAACTCAACCTCTCATTGGGAAGGGGAAATTTCCCTTCAAATAGAAAAGCCCCCAAACAACCATCACTGTCCCAGGAGAAAAAGGTATGAGTTTAGCCAAAAGAATTCCAGACTCCAGATTTACCTTGAGATATGCGACATTCTAGCTCTGGTGGTATAGTGCCTTTGACTGCTAACCAGAAGGCTGGTGGTTCACACTCACGAGCCACTCCTCGGAAGGAAGATTGGGCAATCTACTTCCATAGAGATACGGCCTCAGAAACCCAAGGAAGGGTCGCTATGAGTTGAATTGACTCAGTGGCAGCAAGTTGGGTTTTTTGATCCAACCTTCTACCTGGTTTCAGGTTGATAATCGAAGTTTATCAATCAGGTAGATAAACGGTAATTTTAGAAATACTATTGATCAAACAGGAGCTCTGGTGGCACAGTGCCTAAGACATTTGACTGCTAACCAGAGGCTGGCACTTCAAACCCACCAGCCACTCCTTGGAAGGAAGATTGGGCAATCTACTTCCACAGTGATACCACTTTGGAAACCCAAATGAGCAGATGATTAAGAGATTCAGGCTTTTAGAGTCAAGAAAAGCTCTTGTATGGGCTTTTAGAAGGCCAAGTGGTCTGGGACCAGGACACAGACACGTGTGGTGACATCATCAGCATGTGAGAAATTATCTAATTTTTGTAGATCTTTAAAGAAACTGCTATCTTTAAAGAAACTGCTACCATAAATTCATTTATTTTAGAAACTTGGGGTGGGTCTAAATAGATCAATCTCACTGGGGTTACCCTCACTGTCAGGAATCTTTTCTAGAATAACTGAGAATCATCTTCCTGTCCTTCTTGGTAAAAATGGAGGGAAATTGCCCCCACCCTGCCTCCCCTCTGGCCCCTCTCTTATGAGACCACCAATCCTTGCCCCTACCCTTTCCTCCCAATACCTAGTGGATAAACACCCAATTTTCCATAATTCTCTGCTGAAACTTCTCCAAGGACCTTTTAAGTGGTTGAACTAAAAACTGCACATACTGTTTTCTTCCCAGATCTTGTCATAGGTGAAGAGATTGCACATTATCTTAAAGCACCTCAGAATTTCTGTGTCTTAGTTTTATCCAACAGTGAATGGAATTTATTCAGTCTTTACTTACTGTTATATGGAGAGAGCAGAAGAAGGAGCAGGATTCTCAACTCCACTACTAACAAGGTAGGTAAGTTCATAGGTTTATTCCACTCTTACCTCCAGATCGCTTTCTGTTGGACATTCACAAAACCAGCCCACAAAGACTCCCATCCTCCTTTTTTGTGACTGGGTTCCCTTAAATTGTACCAAGGGAGCACTTATTCAGACCCATTTGATTGTCAGCAACTACCTCTCTGGGCCATAATCCCCACTCTCATCCTGATGCAGGCTCTGAAGCCTACCATATCCTCACCTCAGGCGGTGCCCTCCCAGATTGTGTCTTCTCCACTTGCTTTTGCTTGACGGACCAGAACAAAGGAACCCAAATGTAGATTCAACATTTCCAGGTCCTTCTGGACCTATGAAGGAGTGGAAAGTGTTCCTGACCCCTGGGGAAGATGATTCCCTCATCCTACAGCTACCAACACCCCCCATCTTCTCTTCACCAAACTAAAAAACCAAACTTACTGCCGTGGATTCAGGTCCGACTCATAGTGATCCCTCCTTGGGTTCAATGGAGGTATCACTATGGAAATGGATTGCCTAAACTTTCCTCAATCTTCCTTCCGAGAAGTGGCTGGTGGGTTTGAACCACCAGTCTTCTGGTTAGCAGTCAAATGCCTTAGGCACTACGCCACCAGAGCTCCCTCTCTTCACCAGGCTCCCATAATTTATCAGATGAGAGGCACCTGCTAAGACATTGTTGAGCGAATTGTGAGAGCCCTAGGCTTTCCTGGGGGCATTTCCAGACCAGGAAAGCTGGTCCTGAAGTGCGCCTGGAATGCTCCCGGCCTTGGAAAGTTACCCACAGAGGGGTATTTCTGGGCTGTGGACATTGCCCGGAGGAGTAGCATAGTGAGGTAACACAGTCCCTCTTTAACTCCCCCCACCACTCTGCTCCTGGGAATGATGAGTACTTGGGCAAGGAAAACATTCTTTCTGCCACCCACCCCAGGACACCGCCATCCATCCACCCCACCCCTCCTCCACCTCAGCACGACCATCCATGCACCTCCAAGCCCACCCCCTTACAGTCTCCCCAGGAAATATTCTTTTTCAATCAAAGGACAGGATAATTCCTTTTCCTGGTACCACGACTATCTGAATAGAGTTGCCCCAATAAACAGGTACTTTCTTTGTCCTGTTTCTTACTCTGATGAGAGCATGCGAAGTGCGCACACACTCACACTCACACACACACACACACACACACACAAAGCTTGCGCTTGCCGGCCCAGGGCCCCTTTGCCCGCCGTTTAAGGTCCTCAGGGATGCGACGGAGCAAGGCGCCGAGGACGGAGTACGGGGCCCTGGTGCACCCAGCGCCTCCTGGGCTTGGGCAGCACCGACGCCCGGGGCCCCGCCGAAGGTGCGTCCCACGCGCCTTTAGCCCTGACGGCCGGGGCAGACTCCGCTCACCTTGATGTTGCAGAAGGTGGAGCGGGAACAGCGGCCAGCTCGGCCCGAAGAGGCGTCGCTGCTTTGGAACAGGCAGAGCTTCGACAAGAGTCCCATGGTGCGGTCACTGGCGAGTCTAGGCGGCGAGCTGGGCAGCAGCAGCGCTGGCGCGGGGTCTGCGTCCTTCTGACCCGTCCGGGATGGCGGCGGCAGAACCCAGGGACAGAGGCACGGCGCCGCTCCGAGTCCGCAGTCGGGCGAGCAGGGGCCGGGCCGTAGGTGCGGAGCGCCGCGGCCGTGGCCAGAGGAGGCGCGCAGCGCGAAGACTATGCGAGAGTGAGCGCCCAGAAGTTTTTATAAGTGGCCGCAGTCGCCGCCGCCTCCGCGGATGATGAAACGCGCTTTCCCTCCTCCCTCTTTTCCTCCGGTGTTAAAGGAGCTGCGAGCCCCCGCCTCCGTAGCTGTGGCCCCTCTCAGACAGGTGTGACGCGGCGGCGGGCAGCGTTTGACCGCATTGCACGCCCCGGCTGGGAGCGGGAATTCCTGCGCCTCTCTGCTTCGGGAGTTCGCCTTGGACCCTCGAGGCTCGACCACCCTCAGAGAAGGGGAGGGTCTGGGGGAAGAAATACTGGCGGGGAAGGGGCGGGGGGGGAGCAGGAAGGCCAAGGGGCGCGGGTGGATTGGTGCAGCTGCAATCAGTGGGCGGGCGGGAGAAGAGCTAGGGGTCCAGGAGAGAGTGTGGCAGGGCTAGGAAGCAGGGGCACCTAGGGTGTAGAAGGGGGCTGGAAAGGGGCCCAAAGTGTGTTGGAGTGGCCAACCGGACCCAGAAGATGAGAGCGAAACTGAAGTGGGAGTGGAGCTGGAAGGTGGCCGGGGGGCTTCTGGAGGAGAGGGGAGCACCCTCGCCCCTGCCAGAGGAATCGGGAGATTTACGGAGCCGGTCTCTGCTTGTTTGCACTCGCAGCAAACCTGGGCTCTCGGTTCTGGGGATGGCTTTGAGAGTCGCTGAGGCTCTGTTTGTGCCGAGGTCTGATTTATATTTAAACTGCTCTTTGCGCTGGAGAGGGGGCGGGTAACAAGGTGGAGGGGTGAGGGCCGCCCCGGGCTGGGCCCGAACTCTCTGGACCTGAGCCAAGGTAAACTGCAGGCGCTGTCAAGTGTCAGCACTGGCGGGTCTGGGCTGCAGTGCTGCGGGGGGGGCTTGGACGAATGGGACGTACCCCACAGACTTCCTTCTCAGGATTGGAATAGAACCAGCAAGACAACGGGGTTTATTTTTTTCCCCAAAAGACTTTTTACCGCCAGGTTTCTGACTGCAGAGAAGAGGAAGGAGGTGAGGCTTTTCAAAAGAAAAGTAAGAATGCTTTGTCAAAAGCAGCTGCAATAAGGAATCCACTTCTGGAGACATTTCTCCAGATTCTCTGTAGTCCCCTTCGGAGCCAGTCTCTCCACGACCACATCAGCACCAGGAGAAGATGCCCCTCAATACTCAGGAAGTTTTGGCCACAGAGAGTGTCAGATTACCCAATAACGAAGGTAAGCATGGGCTTACTTGTGCTTACTTACTAATCTGTAGTGAGCAACTCACCACATCAGAGATTCTGCTTCTAGGTGTGGCTGGCATCTGTCTTTCTCCCATCCCCCCAGAACATTCCTACAGAATCAAAGCCTTTTTTTCAAATTTATAATTCCTGACAGAGATGGAGTACCCAGTAAGCAAGATAAGCATGGTCTTGCTTGTGCTTACTTATTAAGCGGTAGTGAACAATTTGAAAGTTTCCACTACAGATTAGTAAGTAAGTCCAAGTAAGCCTGTGCTTACCTTGCTTATTACATAATCTGCCCCCAATCACAGAACAGATGGCCTGTGCAGGCATTTTATTTCTACCCAAGACCTGATGTTTTTGTGGGCCTAGTCTGTGTTGTCTTGTGTTTAGTGGCTGCTCCTATCCACTTGTAGCGCAAGGACCCAGATTATAGCAGCATTCAGTGCTAGAGATGAAGCCATTGGAGAAAGGCAGCCTCAGGCCACTTCACTCACCAATGGAATGAGTGCGTGGCTTTCCACAGCCTTGCAGCAGCCCCAAGGCTCTCTGGTGGCATAAGTGGTTAAGGCATTGGGCTGCTAATCAAAAGGTCAGTTCACTAGCCAAACCACAGGTCAAAGATGAGGCAGTTAGCTTCCTTAAAGATTTACAGACTTCGAAACTCTGTGGAGCAGTTTTACTCTGCCCTAAAGGGTCACTATGAGTCGTAATCAACTTGATGGCAGAGGGTTTGGCAACAGCCACAGTCCCAGAACAGCTATGAACTGTGGGTCCCTCATTTGCTCTCTTGGAAAACATGGAACACAGGATAGCTAACATTGTGGAGCATTTACTGTGTGTCAGGCGGTGGATCGTAACACCATGGTGGATGTCTATCATGCCAGGCACTCTGCTGAACACCTACATGAGTCCACATCATCCCAAAATTGACCCTATAGTTTTAGGTACTTCTGCAACCTGAATTTTACAGATGGGGGTGCCAGAGAGGGCAATGAACTGACTCAAAGCTATGCAACTAGTAAATGATGGAGCTGGAACCTAAACCCAGCTTTGTCTGACTCCAGTGCCAAGATTTAAAGATTATCCCCTGAGACAAGTTATCTGTTCCAGCCCTCATTTCACAATTGAAATCAAGCAGGGACCAGAGAAGCTTGGGTCAAGGTCACAAGCACACTGGTGTTGTGTTGGCAGAGCTCCCTCTTCAAACCATAGGGCAGAACTCTCCCCATCATGCAGTGATGCTCTGGTAGAACCATCCATAAACCTCATCTCTGCCCACTGTTGGGACCAGTGTCATCTCTAAAGGAAGGGCCTATTCAGAAAGGTTCACAGATGGTTATCTGACTTCAGTAGGTAGAGTTTAGCTAAATGTAATAGAGACCCAACCAAAGTGTGCTAAATGAGATTTATTTGTCTCTCATAATAAGAAGGCCTGTAGGTTGCCCAGGGCTTATGACCCCTTTAGAATTCCTTAAGTGTGTGGCTTTCATCCCATGCTGGCTCATAGTCACAAAATGGCTCCTCCACCTCCAGCCTCCTCTCTTAATTCCAAGAAGGAAATGGAAGACAGGAAACAGGAAGGGGCAGTGCTTACACCAGGGAAGCAAATCTTTTCCTTGTATGCTCAGCTACTCTTTAAGTCTCATTGGCAAAACTGAGTCACATGGCTACTGTCTGCAAAGGAGGCTCAGAAGTGTAGTTGTTTAATACTATTGCTACCCTTTGAACAAAATTAGGGTTCTACTAGGGAAAAGGGGAAGGAAGGTGTTAAGTATTCAACTTTCAGTGTCTGCATGTTGAGTCAACCCATTCTTTAAAATACTACCCCCACCCCCAGGGTCTACTTAGGGGCTCTGTTGGCATAGTGCCTAAGGCATTTAACTGCTAACCAGAAGACTGGCAGTTTAAACCCACCAGCCACTCCTCGGAATGAAGATTGGGCAATAACTTCTGTAGTGATACCGCCTCGGAAACCCACTGCCTCGCTATGAGTCACATCCCACTAGAGGTCAGTAAGTTTGGTTTTTTTTAGGGTCTACTTCTCAGACTTCCCATCCTTCAATTTCAGCAACTATTTCCTAGCACTATAGAAACAACAAAGAACAACAACAGTCCCTGACTTTAAAGATTCTATATAGTTTCAGGGTAGGGAGTAGGAAGAAAAAGTATCAGTATGATGTTAGAAGAGAGATGTGTTATGCAAGCACAGAAAACTAAAAAAACAAAAAACAAAACAAAACCTGTTGCTGTCAAGTCAATTCCAACTCATGGAGACCACGTATGTTACAGAGTAGAACTGCTCCATGGGGTTTTCTTGGCTGTAATCTTTACAGAAGATGATAGCCAGCTCTTTCTTTTCATGACACTGCTGAGTGGGTTGGAACTACCAAGCCTTATGTTAATTAGTAGAGCATAAACTGTTTGTGCCACCCAGAGAAGATACAAGAGGGTCCCTAACTCATTCTGGGGCAGCAGGAAGGCTTGCAGGAGATAACCCTCAAGTTGAACTCTAAGGACTAGATGGATTTTGGGGATTAGGGTAAGGGAGGTTCAATGTGCTTCACGGTTTCAGTCTGGCTGAAGCATAGACCAAGGATAATTGGAATGACTGAGATGAAGAGGTTAGGACATTGAGTGGCATGCTATGAAGTTTAGGACTTGTTCCCTGTGCAAGTTGTTGTTATATACCGTCGAGTCGGACCCGACTCATAGCGACCCCTCCTTGGGTTTCCGAGGCAGCATCACTATGGAAGTAGATTGCCCAACCTTCCTTCTGAGGAGTGGGCTGGTTGGTTTTGAACCTCCAGCCTTCTGGTTAGCAGTCAAGTACCTTAGGCACTATGCTACCAGAGCTCCCAAAGGAGCCATTAAAGGCTTCTAAACAGGGAAGTTGGTCTGATTTGCATTTCACACGGAACTCTCTTTGGCAACTGGGTAAGAGCAGAAGGGGAGCAGCGGCAGAAGGAACTCCAGGAGCTATAATGAAGGTCTTTACTGCAGAAGTGGTGATGGTGGTGGGCAGGAGAAAAAGGCTCATGAAATGTTAAGAGGAGATGGCATCTATGTATCCATGAGGGAGATGTTAGGGATGACTTCCAGAACCTGGCTTGGTCAGCTCTCACTGGTGATGACAACCTCAACAAAGGGGACCCAAGAGGAGTAGCAGTGACTGGAGGAAGCCAGTAGTCCCACTGGACTCATTTTGAATTCAGAATCCCCAGATTATATGTGGGATAGAGATGAGCAGCTGGTGGGTTGGTATATGGACCAGTGCTCAGGGAAGATGCTGGCCTAGAGATACAGGATTGGGGATCCCAGTGGAGGTGGTGGTTAAAGCCAAGAAGGGGTGAGTTTCCCAGTGAGAATGTGTTCATGAGAAGTGAGTTCAGGACAGGCCCCAGCAACATCCAAGGGGAGCACAGGGGACAGAGCCAGTAAGGAGACAGGGGGGAGAGGCCAGAGTGGAGGGAAGAGAACAGGAGTGAGGGTATTGGTGGGGCTGAGGGCTAGTGTTTGGACAAGCTGGAAGACAGGAGCAGGTCCAGGTTGCTGAGGAGGGAAGTAAGACCT